ATTTTGTACAAGTTTATCGTTATGATAGAAAATCACATTGGAAAGTGTGTTTTGTCCTCTCTGTCTGCAGCTCAGACTAACAGAAGCTCCAACAGTCACAGGATGGACGGGGCTCACCAGGAGAACATCTTTATCTGGAAAACAGAACAAAATGAATTCCACTCAGTGATCAGCTGGTTTGGAGAAAGTGTGTGTGCAATGAGAAGAAAGTGAACACATGATATATATTAAGCAGTTTATATTGTGTTACAACATGCTGTCTCACCAATATCATCACATGAATAAATAAGCCTCAGTGTTTGAAACCCCACAATTAAATTAAATAGAAGACAAAGAAAAAAATCTGAGGTGAATTTAGATATTGAAATAAAAAAGGAATAAAACCAACTCGTATAAAAACATACCATGTACTGTGATATTGACTGCATTGCTGAACTCTCCAGATCCAGACTCACACCAGAACACAGCTTTATGAGGCTGCTGACTGATAAAGTTACATGATGATCCGGTCATTGTTCTCCAGTCAGAGCAGCCTGTTTCTGTAAACCTCCTCACTCTCCACTCAGTCGATTTTCCTTCACAGTTCAGTGAGACAGACTCAGAGGTGAAGTGTTGATCTCTGTCAGGACTCACTGTGAGAGATGCTGCTGGATGAGAATCTGAAAAACAAAATCAGATCAAACGTTAAGAAGTTTTATTCTATTAAAGGGACGAGCAACATATGTGACTTTGATTAGGCGCCCATATCCCTAACCCTTAAAATATTTAAAAGGCAAAACATTAAAAACAGATCTTAGATAAATGTTTAAAAATGACAAAAATATCTAAAATAAAAATAATAAAAAAATGGAAAATAGTCAAGTTTCATGCTGCTTTTAAAGCCACTGAGTACTGTGAGGTGGCAGGCAGAATGACGCAGGGCACAGACAAAATCCAAAAAGCTAAATATTTATTAAACAAAAGAAGGCTGACGTGGTAGCTCAAAAACTCACAGGTCTTCTGGGAGAAAAAGAACACAAGGAACATGAGAAACACCACACTGGCTGGTAACAGCACAGTGATCAAACACTGAAGACAGGACACAGAATATAAAGGGAGAACTTAACGAGACAACAAGAAACACCTGGAGGAGACACCAAAGGAATCAGGTGAGCACGGGCGGGGCAGGAAGAACAACCGAGGACACACAGGGAAAATACAGAAACACTAGAAAACTGAAGCAGAAAAAACACAGAGTGTGACAATTACAAATGTGTTTTAACATGAGAGCTAAAAAGAGCAAAAGTTAAAGCTTGTGAAGAATGAAAAGGCAGCTGAAGAACTGAACATATAAACCAGCATCTTGGGACATTCTGGATTTTGGGTCATGTCTGGTGTGGTAGACACCAGCCTGTTTTTCTTCTTGTCCTGTGATGATTAGTTCCTTCTTAACATCTCGCCTGTGACAGGATTTCTTGATCTTGAAGTTGTGATCTCTGGTTGTTTCCTATAAAAAGATTGACAGATTCTTAGTCTATCGAACTGTGGATATTTCTTACACAAAGACTTACCCAGTCACACAATTAGTTTACTTTAAAGCACATCAGTGGACATGTAATCTGGGTTAAAATATTTTTAAAATAAGGCCATATTGTGAATCACAGATTATATATAATCACACATCATCACTAAACATTAAATAATCAAAGTTTACACTGTACCATTTCCAGTGTTTCCAGTCGCTCTGATTGTTTCATAAATACACTGGTCAGCTACAAATGAGTGAAAATCAGACAGACTTAGATTAATCGCCTGACTTAAAATAATTCCTGCTCATCTGAATGAAACTGTTACAAATATTGTGAAAAAACTTCAAAGCAAAGTGACAAAACTGACCATGAAGGAGAGAGGAGTATACTTGCTGTTGCCCATCATCCTGTGTGACTGACTGCTCTGTACCAGAACCTTTTACAC